CTATTCGATTAGTCAATTAGTCAATACTTAACATCCTTAAGATACACTGGCTCTGGAAAATATGCTGCCATCATCAAGTGATTTAAACACTGAAAAATCAGGAAGGAACACTTGAATTCCTTTCCCATGGGTCCCCTAAGCTCTTCTGCCATGAGAGGTTGAAAAAAGAAACAAAAAGGACAGAAAAACTGTATCTATGATAGCTGACCTCTTAGGCTAGGCAGACACACACAGAAACCTCCTGTTACCTTCCAGGACGCAAGGATCAAATCATCGCCTAAGTACACATTTTCCCTTAATTACTCTCAATCCCTTCATGGTACAGTCCACTTCCATGCCCCAAACTCCACAGAGACATGGTAGTTCTGATTGCTGTATTTGGCTCCCTCCAGCCGTTAAATAAGATCTCCCACAAAGAGAAATGGCAACAGGTATGTATCTACGATTCAAGTTTCAGCATTGCATCCCACTGGTTCTTCTGGCTTCCTGCCAACACCCCTACCTATCTGAGTTTAACCCTTTAGTCACCAAATGCTGGCCAGCATTCCAATCTATCACAGTTGAAGATATCTCAAACTCTGATCTTAATTTTTTAAAATCCTGTATTACTAATTAATACAGGGGTAGGGAACCTCAGGCCTAGGGGCCAAATGTGTCTCCTGGCTTGCCTGGATCTGGCCCCCGAGGCTCAGGGATCCCCACCACATCAGGGAGCCCAGTCTGGCACTTCAGCCCCCCTGCCACTCACCCACAGGGCAGGAGCATACAAAATCGACTAGCCTGGGCCCCCTGGGCTCTAGTGTGTGAGGGGAATGAGAGGAGTGTCTTTTTCCTTCTCAGTCAAGGGCTTCACACTTTTGCTTCTCACTTGTGTATGGCGCCTGACTGATTTTTCTGTGGGTCAGCAGCCCCTGACAAAAAAAGTTCCCCACCCCTAAATTAATACATGGTATATTTGATTTCATATTAAATATCATCAGCATTGCTCCTTGTTAACTATCCCTTGTTTTAATATATTTTCTTTCATACTTAGGGACTGCTTAATGTGGGGAGGGGAGTTTCTGTACTGGTGGTGCACATCCAACCACTACCTCAATACTGGTGTTGCACATAAGAAAATTCAACCCACCCAAGGACAGAAAATGTTAGAGGGAACACTGATCCAGAGGTAAGCAATTAACAAGTTAAAAAACGTAATGCATAATATAGTTTTCAGTTAACCGCAGGCATTAACTGTCACCAACAGCCTCAGTCAAGACCCTTTATAAATGACAAATGAAGGTAAAGGTAAAACTTTTCTTTTCAGAAAAATGTTTTTGCTGAAAGGGAGATTCATACTTTACCTTCAAAAGGAAGTAAAAATTATGAAGGTTTTGATTAAGATTGCAATGCAAAATCACTCAATTTCAATATAAATTATTATTTTAATTTGAAACAAAATACAGGATTATGTAGCACTTTAAAGACTAACAAGATGGTTTATTAGATGATGAGCTTTCGTGGGCCAGACCCACTTCCTCAGATCAAACAATGGAAGAAAATAGTCACAACCATATATACCAAAGGATACAATTTAAAAAAAAATGAACACACATGAAAAGGGCAAATCACATTACAGAACAGAAGGGGGGTGGGGCGGGGGGAAGGAAGGTGAATGCCAGTGAGTTAATGAATTGCAACAAACCCCGCTGCCAGCTTTGTCCACATATTCACTCTGCTGACACCGTTATTGGGCCTAACCGAGTTATAAGATCAAGAATACATATTCCTGCGCCTCCAGAAATATAATCTATGCTATCATGTGCCGAAAGTGTCCGTCTGCTATGTACATTGGACAAACGTCTCAGACACTTCGCCAAAGAATCAATGCCCACAAAAACTTTATGTTTATTACTGTTATATGGAGCAACATCTCCTGAGGAATATATTAATTAGAATAGGTCAAAATTAATGGAACAGTTTTCCTATCAGAAAATATTTTTGAACAAAAAAAGTAAAAAAAATGTTCACATAAATTAATTGATTTTATAGAAGTACCTTGTTTCAACAAGCTTGATGGATTTTGTTTTACTGTCACATGACAAATAATTATATAAAATCAAAATTAAGTACATTAATAAACCTTGGGCTACTTGGAAGATCCATGATTTCATCGATGTGAATGGTCTCACCACCAATGCAGATCGCAATTTTCCACACCGTCCTGTTTTGTTCAGTTCTTGTCCATGTCCTTCCATAAATCTTCCATAAAGGATCCACCCACCATCCTGGAGCCCTTCCTCTTGTTCTTTTTATGTTTCGTGGATACCAGTGAAGTATAAGTGCTGTGCATCTGTTGTCTCTCAGTCTCGCTACATGACCATCCCATGTCCTTATCCAACCATACATAACTTGGATGATATTGTTGTCACCACTTCTTGCACACAGATCATCAATAGTAACATGCTGTAGCCTACTTACACCCACCATGTGTCTTTCCATTGCTCTTTGGGTGATTTGCAGCTTTAATTCTTCTATAAATGTCATGTTCCAGGTTTTCACAGTCATAGAGCATTACCGGAAAGATACTGGTATTAAAGAGATGAGCTTTCATGGTGGTGGAAAGTTTAGGATGTACAAAAATACTATGCAGACTCTCAAAGGCAATCCAGCCCGACCTCCTGCTCAACTCTGGACCCAACACATTGTCCATCTGCAACACTTCTCCAATATATACATATTCATCTACCAGCTCGACAGTCTGTCCATCCAACTGCATGACCTACTCTGAAAAATGTGCATTTTTCATCCACTTCGTTTTTCCAGTATGGATGGTCTGGCCAATCTCCTTCACATTCTTACGAATGTCATTGAGGAAGGTGATGTGGATTTTGAAGCAATTAGGACAATGTCATCTGTGAAAAGGAGCAACTGAAGAACCTCGCCATCAATCAGAAATTCATCTTTCACTTTGGTTTTCCACAAGACGTCTTCCAGGACATTGGCAAACAACTTCAGTGAATAAACGTCACCCTGTTTTACACCTTGCTTAACTTTGATGATCATGGATCATCAAAAAGCATTATTTCCATAGTTATGTCCATCATGGAATCTTGTATGATTCTAACATACACAGGGGAAACACCCTGTGAAAAGAGAGCACTTAAAACTGCATTTTGTTCCACTGAGCCAAGGTTTTTTTAAATGAATAACAAGCATAGTGGGATCTTGTACTCTTTAAACCTTTTGGACATCTGTGTGACCACAAAAATATGGTCCACTGTGGAGAATCCCCTATGAAAGTCTGCCTGTTCCCTTATCATGTTTTCCTCGAGGACACCCTCAATATGGACAGAGATCATTCTCATAAAGACCTTATAAATATGAAAAAGCAGACAGATGGGTCGATAGTTGCAAATGTCGTCTCAGTCACCTTTTTTCAGCAGAAGAATAGTTTGAGATCTCTTTCAGTCTTTCAGAATTCTCCCCTCTTTGATGCATCTTGAGAATCTCACGCTAAGTGCTTTAAAAGTGTATCACCTTCTGCACAAAGTTTTTCTATGTGTACTTGGTCTAAACCTGATGCTCTTCCCAACTTCATCTTCTGAAGGGCTGCTGCCACTTCTTCACAGAGCACATAAGGTTCAGGGGTGACGGAGCCCAGGTATAATGGCTCCACTGTTGTTGCTGATGAAAATAGCTCACTATAAAAGAACAGGCAAATTTGTTCCATTTCACATCTGTTTGTCATTTTACTACTGTTTTTGTCAACAAACGTGCTTGGAAGAGTTTGGCTTAACTGGATTTCACATTGAGTTCTTTGCAAACTCGTTTTCTCTTCAACTGCCATTTGCTTTTTCGCAAGCCGATACTGCTCATAATCATCTATCATCTTTTTTCTCAACATTTTATAGACGAACTTATACTCCAGGCTGGTATTGCCCTTGGCTGCCATGTCTCTCTGCTTGGCAAGAAGATCAAGTGTTTGCTGGGCAATATGATTCCTGGATTTCTATGGCTTCTTCACAGTGGCAGCAGTTTTACGTTTGTCCAACTTCACCAAAAAATGATAGTAATTGGAATCAATATATTTCATTCCAGCCATTTCCTATGACTCAGAGTCAACAGCATACTTAAACCGACCTGAGCAGAACTATTGTCCCCACATGCAATGTCTAACACTGATAAGGACATTAATATTTCTAGAACAAAATTTTCCAGAGAATCGTGGGGTGGGGGTTTTTGTTTTTAACAATTTGAGAGAAAAGAAAATTCTAGGATTTTTCCCTGTGGAACACAAATCCTGAGTTTTGACTAGCTCTAGTGTTAATGATTTATAGCAGACTGTTTATTTCAGATTAGAATGTAGGAAATTATTGGCAGTGTAATGGTCCACCGAGTCCAAGTACAGGGGAGAGATAATAAAATATTTGATGGTGAACAACTAGATTATGAAAATTAGGTAAGTAGGCAACCTGGACTAAGGAGAATGTAGCACTTTAAAGACTAACAAGATGGTTTATTAGATGATGAGCTTTCGTGGGCCAGACCCACTTCCTCAGATCAAATAGTGGAAGAAAGTAGTCACAACCATATATACCAAAGGATACAATTTAAAAAAATGAACAAATATGAAAAGGACAAATCCTTTTCATATTTGTTCATTTTTTTAAATTGTATCCTTTGGTATATATGGTTGTGACTATTTTCTTCCATTATTTGATCTGAGGAAGTGGGGTCTGGCCCACGAAAGCTCATCATCTAATAAACCATCTTGTTAGTCTTTAAAGTGCTACATAGTCCTCTATTTTGTTTCAGCTACACCAGACTAACACGGCTACATCTCTATCACTATTTTAATTTGTTTTTCTTTCTTGTGTTTGATCACTAAATTTTCAATTTTAGAGTGGGTGCTTTTGAGTGTTCACTAAAAATCAAGTAAATCACCATACCTTAAAAAACCCATGTGTGTTGCATTATGCCCCATTTTAAAACAATTATAGTTACTAAATATACAGTACCTCATTTACAAAGTAGCCCAATACTCCAAGGAGAACTCCAATAAAACAAAGAATTATAATAATAGGAACATTCCATTCCTTCAGAAAGGTTCTCAACAAAGCTGGAAACAAAGAGAGATTATTATTCATAGAAACAACATCATTGTATATAATTCCAAAACATGCATCTCTACCATAAGCAGCACAGATCTGACCTGAAATTCTCCTGTATCTGCTACATAATTTTGGGTCTGCAAACAAGCTATAAATGTTGTGAAGATCCACATTTAAGATGCATAAACTCAACGTTCAACCAGTACTTATTTTCATATCCAGAGCACAACTGAATGTACATTCCTATTTCAAGGTTGCTGGTGTAGCTGGTAAGCACTAATCAAAATCTGTATTTCCCTTGTGCTCAAATGTACAAAGCAAGAAAAGTATAACAATAGACACTTGCTATACCTGCCAAGGATATTTTATATTTTTTTCTTTCCACTTTCTATATCTCAACCTGATTGCTTCAGTATAGTAACACCAAAATATTTTATGGACATCTGAAAGTATTTACCCAAATGGTGTTTTGAATAAACAGCTAAACAAATATGTGAATTCATCTTAGGGGAAGCATATAGCAAAGGCAGATTACACAAATCATGTACAGGCAGTCCCCGGGTTACGTACAAGATAGGGACTGTAGGTTTGTTCTTAAGTTGAATTTGTATGTAAGTCGGAACTGGTACATATTGTAGGGGAAACTCTAGCCAAACATTTCTCCAGAGCTCAGTTTTATTCTCCCACACCTCACTTCCCTCAGGCTTTATTCTCAAGCTGAGGTGTCTGCTGAGAAAAGCCGCTCCACGTCTCCCTGGTCGGCTGGGAGGGGTGCTAGCTTTGCGTCTCCCTGGTCTGCTGGGGGGCGCGCTAGCTTCGCGTCTCCCTGGTCTGCTGGGGGGAAGCAGCTAGTGCGGGGTTGCCTCACCCAGTTTGTAAGTAGGGATCCGATGTAAGTCGGATCCATGTAACCCGGGGACTGCCTGTAATGGGGATATGCAGAAATAATGTCTGAAAAAGTGTTTCAGTTAACCAAAATAGTGTTATTCAGCATTTACATGTTTAAAAAAAAACCAACTACTTGCTTCTTTTTCCTAGTTTGTAATACCAAGTTGAAAATTCACCAATGAAAATACACCAGTGAAAAGTCTAGCCAATAAGACCCATATTAGAACCTCCCTAAAACATTTGCCCAAGTTACACGTCACCAAATTCCCAATAGCTCCATACTGTGGCATCTGGGGATATTCTTATATAGTTCATTTGCAGCATTCCTAACAGAGGATTATAAACAAACAACATAAAAGTTAAAACATTATATGATATTGCAACAACACAAAAAAGTTCCTCCTGACATCTTAAAAATGAGCATGGTAGTACAACTAAAAGTGTTATAGGTATCGTGGGCACCCAATGCCTTCTTGGGCCCAAATTAAGGCCAAAAAAAGCCAACAGTATCCATATAAAAATGAAAACAAAGAGAGAGACCTGGCCAGCTAAAGTCCACAGAGTGCTGCACCATCACCATATATCAGTAAACTTATGATTTCCAGATCCATCAGGTTATGAAATACAAAATAACAGAACAAGATAGACTAATGGTAACAGTACGGATTGCTCCTATCAGTTGGAAGAACTGTAATTAGGCCCATTTGTCACAGACTTAATTATGCATCTTGCATACATCAGAATTTGGAAGCAGGTAATATTTGGAGTGGGAAGTAGGGATGCTAACTATCATGTATTTGTGTAAACGTGTAACCTCTGGAAAAGGGGAAGGGGGCAGTTAGAAGCCAGTGCTCGCAGAGAGCCAGCTTAACAGCCATCTTCCCACACATGCTGGCTTCTACCTGCCCCCTGAGCTTTTAAGCCAACTCCCCTCCCAGCACTGGCTCTAGCCTACCCCCCTGCCTCCCCACACACACCACACTACCACCTCTATGGAAGGCAGTTTGGGGAGGGAGGACAGGCGGTTCCATGGAGTCGACACATGCAAAGCACCAGTTTAAAAGCAGGCTCCCTGCACATATGAGCTCCCGCCTGCCCCTCTCAGTTGCCTCTGATCCAGATGCAGCAGCAGGGAGGAGAGGGGGAGAGAGATGCGGAGGAGGCAGCTCCGTGGGGGCTGGCTTGAAAGCTGGCTCCCCACATTTATCAGCTCCAGCCTGCCCACCTCACTCTGCTGCCTATCAGAGGCAGCAGCAGGATGGGGAGAGGCAGTGCCATGGGAACTAGTGTTGCCTTTAAGCCAGCTCTCCCCAAACACGTTTCCACCTGCCCCTCTGCACTGCTGCCTCAGAGAGGTGCAGGGAGGAGAGGGTTCTGCAGCAGCTGGCACGTACTTAGATCCGGCTTAGAAGTCAGCCCCCCTCGCATATCGGCTCCCACCTCCCCCCCTTGCTGCCTCTGATACAGAGGCAGCAAGATGGGGTGCCTATAGTCAATGGAATTAAACAATAAACCCAGACTTATCAATTCTGTAATCAACTACACACTTACATCCTAGATGGGATAGTGTAAACGTGTAAATAGTAAAATGAACCTGGTCTCATTCACGGTTACACGCAGCCCCCTTAACTCTCACAGTGCTGCCTCTGATACAGGGGCAGGTGCTCCTGGGAAGCTGGCTTCCCAGACTCCCACACTCCCCCATGTAGCTATCTCTGATACAGAGACAGCAGCATGGGGTGGTTGGGGTCAGGTGGAAGCGAGTGCACGCACACCATCTCCTGCAGGGCTGCTTTCCAACCCTATGTGTAAACATGTACCAACTGAAAAGATTTGGATCAGAGTTGAGTGACAAAAACACCCCTTTTAATGAATCATGCTTGCTTCTCCAGAAACTCTGGCCTTGATGCAGATATGGTGGATATACATGACAAATCTCTATTCTTGCTATGGGAGAAGGACTATTTTCTGCCTTGAAATGAAGCATATTTACATTACATATCTCAAATCCACTTCATGGATTTTAGAGTTATTACACCTTTTGTGATATATAATTTATATTAAGACATAAACATGGGAAAAAAGTCAGTTATGTATATTTATGCCTAAGGAAATCATGGTAAAAGATTATTTTAAAACTAGTCCTGAACTATGGATGTTAATGGGTTACAAGTACCCGATACCCTGGGAATAGCCCTGCCAGGCCCCCGTGTATGGCTGGAAGCAGCCAGACTAGAATAGCCCTTGTCCACTGGGGACTCCAGCCTCGCTGCAGCAAGCAAGGGGGGCCACTCCATCCCAACAAGTTGAACTTAAGGTTTAACCGGTTAACTAAGTAAACAGTATTTTACATCCCTATCCTGAACTGTTGTGTCTTCCAGTGATTTTAAGAAACTGTGATTTTTAAAATGTGGTCAAATAAGGACAAATTTAAAAAAATCCTCCTTTTTGCTTACAAAGAGAAAATTAAATTTTAAAAGCCAGCACAACTAAGAAATGGAAGGTTTTCCCCTTATTTTATAAAGCAAATTTCTGCAAAGGAGACTATTTGTTCAAAATCTGGGCTACTGTTCCTCACTACACTTTTAAAGGCAGCTCCACTCTCCTAGTTTGTTAAGCTTCTAATCTCCAGCACGGAATCTCTTATAAGTCATCCTCTCTGTCAGCCACACAAATTCAGAATTCTGAAATTTGCCACTAAATATATTAATCATTCTTGGGTGAGATTTCTTAACAGGTATGCTCCCTCACAAAAAATCAATTAACTAAGTAAAACCAAAATCTTCCTTTAAGAGAAGAAGCCCATCAGTCTGGATTCTGTGGAACACCTAATGGCACCCCAGGTGAATCTTGGACATGCTTACTGAGATAACAGAACGAGGGAGTGCCTGGGGTCACAGCCCCAAAATATTCTTTCAAAAGAGCCAAATCAATTGACAAGTTTGCCATTTGACTGAGAAATGGCAAATAAAGAAAGAGACTGAATTCCAGGTTTTTACACCCATGAGGTAGTAATACCCCTAAAGATGAATGAACACTTATACCCAGAAGATAAAAAGCACCTTTGACCAGGCAGCATTCCTTAAACAACACTGGCACTGTGCTATGACCAAAAGGGAACCCAGAGAGCCATTTTCCCTAAAGCCAGTCCTGCAGTCAATGATCTTTAGGATTTGCATCAATTGCAAGCCTTTGACCATCCCAGAGCTCGGGGTGGGAGCAAGTCTTGCTTCACTGGCAGTTTGGTTCCAGTCCTTGCTTCTCTTCCACCTCTGTAACCTTGAAATGATAGGTTAAATTAGCTGACAAAAGAAATGGAGAGCTAAGAATTTAATTTTCTCTCTTCTTGATATCACTAAGTCTGTTGCTCCTATAAAGGCGGAAAACAGCCAACACAAAAAGCCGTGTAAAAAATAAGAAAAGCCAGAATTCAAAGGGGAAAAGTTTAAAGACAAGGGAGAGACCACTGCACAGAATACCTTTTACTCAATGCCTAAATAAGCAGAACCTTAAAATGTTCAGTTTCCAGTGCTTTGTAAGAGTAAATAAATAAACCTGCAGGTTTAAAATGATGAGAGAGACACCTGCACTAAGGATGTAATCAATTAGTCGAGTCACTACTCACTTCCCCCCCCTTGCTGCCTCTGTATCAGAGGCAACGGGGGGGGGGGGGGGGGGGGGACCCACCTCGGTAAGTTTCCATATGGTTTCCTTAAAGGATTTAGCCAAAAACAAGATTAACAGAAGTGGATTTCTTCAGGACTAACTTTTAACCCCAAAGAGAAGGATATTGGTGTTCAAGAGGAGTTGTTATAGAAAGATAGTGACCTTCTGCATCCACCCTAACGAGGAATCATATAGGAAGACACAGCCGAAAGAGAACCCACTGCAGAAGGTTGTACAACGGAAGTTACAGCTATTCGGGCATATCTGCAGAATGAACAACACACAAAAAGTTAAGACCCAGGTATTCAGCATAATGGATGGTCCGAATAGAAGAGGCAGACCCCTAAGCGTGCAGCTTTGCCCCAACTTAAAATCTGGTTCCCCCTAGCACTGTCTCCACTATGCAGAGGGGAAGGGGAGGCAGAAGGAGTAGGTCCCAGAACCAGCTCTGTCCCGGCTCATACTGGGTCAGGGACCTACCCCCGATGCAGCTCTGCATTTTAAATATAGGAGCCAGGATGCCTGCATGCCTGACTCCTACTACATTTAAACTGCAGAGCTGCAGCAGCTTCTGGATCCCGCCTCTCCATATTGGCTAATCGTGTAGTCAATCACTTCTTAACATCCTTAATCTGCACTGATCTCAAAGTAGCAGGTCAGGGAGTGGTCTAAAGTGCACTGAGTATGTTCTGTTTCTGAGGTCTTTACAACTCTTGTGATGTCACGCTTAATCCTTATATGGTGTCTCCTCTCTCATGAGCTTTTTGCCCCATTTTATCTGGAATTGCTGTAGAACAGAGTTCTTCAGTATGGTTCAGTTCTTTTCAACTAAATACACAGGGCTCATTTCACATCTAATTGGGGCTATTTTCTCTTTTTGTGACAATTACACATTATGCAGAATGATGGACAGATTATGCCCAGTGGAATTCAGAATTACATTTTATACCAGAATTTACTCCAACATTGCTTTCTTGGGAAAATAAATGCCTTATAGTTTCTCCACTGACAAGGTTGTTAGTTTGTCATCATCTGCCTAAGAGATGGTTGCAATTAGGAAAGCCATTTTAATGAAAAGGCAACGCAGAAGCAAGCAGAACTGCATTTGATTTTTGA